TGTTCCATGCGCGTCGATAGTGACTGGTGGCGGACAACTTGTGAGCGTCAGGATGTGTACTGCGTTCGCCCTCTGCAAGTCGTGCAGCACAGCTCGGGTATTGCGGGGAGTTTTCGAGGCGGCCCTCTCTGTGTGCTGTTCCGATGGCGACGGCTGTTTGGTCTGCTGCCATGTTGGAGCCAGCGACGGCGAGAACAATGAAACCGAGTCCCGCGACGTGTGCCCAAAGCCTGGCTAGTGCGGCGGCGAAGCGTGTTTTCCCTGTGCCAGGTGGGCCTTGTACCGCAGTGACGAGATGTTTGAAGGATGAGCGGAGTGCCTGCGTGTGGTCATCGGTGAGGCCACGCGCTGCAATGACCCATTTGATGGTGTCCTCAGCGGGCGCGTTGTTGGCACGCTGCCGCACCGAGCCTGGGTGTTTGTCTATTTCAGCGTCCGTGATCGGTTCCAACGCGTCCGGCCTGCTCACCGGGTCGCCAAACTGGTCAGGATCGAGCAGCTGGCCTCCGAGCGGTGCACGACTTCGGAGGCGCAGAAAGTGCTCGCTTAGTGCGTTCCTGTAGGTGTCGTTGGAACTTTGTCTCTTCCCGTTGTCGGCTGTCGCAAGGGGTCGCACTGGGCGCGATGTCGACGCGGTAGTGAGGCGCACTTGTCTTTTCAGGCAGGGGCGCTACAACAGAGGTGCTGTGCAGTGCCCCGTCGACCTTGTCGTGCTTGTCCAGGAAGCCACTGGTTGGGTAGATGCGACAACGCGGATGGAGCCCAGGGAAGCGCGGGAAGACCGCGCGGAGACAGGCGATTCCGCCGGTGTTGGGTCCTTTGTGTGGCAGCAGCACCGCTCGTACTCCTTCCTCCCCGCTGTCTGCTGTCAGCTGCCACTCGGCGTTCCAGCTGACCACGTAGTCCTCCAGTCCTCTGTTTGTAATCCTGAATGAACCAGTCCTCCAATTTGTAATCCTGAATGAACCAGTGTCGCCTCGCTGGTGCCACCAGTTCCAGGCCTTGTCTTAGGCGCAAGTGCGCTTGGCTTTCAAGTCCCTACGAGACTTGGTCTTTCCGTCGTAGTCGGGGTCCAAATTAGCACGCATTTCAACTTGACTCATCCAAGCGAGTCTGGTGACGTGTTCCTTGACGTCAGTTGCCCAGGTGTTGGGCAGAGTGACTCCACTGGGGACCCTTCTGATGGGAATCGAGGGAATGGTCGCCTGTCTACCGCGATTCCACCGGAAGCTGTAAATCTTCTTGATTTCAGTTGCGTCGTCCCGTCCGCGACCCGTAGTAACCGTGGTCTCCGGCTCCTCGTTGCTTGTGACGCCAGGTGTGGTGAAAGGATTGGACGGCGCACTTGGTCGTCCTGAGCTGCCCTGTGTCTGGGGGACTGGCCTGCTGGGAACAGCGCCAAGTGTGCCGTGGGGACTTGGGCCAGCAGCGCTCGCAGCGGCACCTCGGCTGCCAATGCCGAATGCCGAGGCGGCCTCTTCCCGAGTGGGGCCGACTGGCAAGGCACCGCTGCACCACTGGAGGGCCAGGGTGGTGCCATTCCTTGCGCTGCCTTCTCGTTGCGAACGGTGTCGTCGGCGGTCAATATTTTGGGTTCACTCGGTGTCCCGGTGTTCCGTGTTCGGCGATGCGCCGGTGCTCCAAGGGCCCAGGCACTGTTTGGTGGGCGGACTCGATTTTTCTTCCCGGTTACTCCCCGTGGCGGCATAGCCGTGGACTCCTGATAGGTCGTGGGGTAGAAGACTGGGACGTGGTCCCAATCTGGTGGGGGAACCGTTTCCTGGCCGCGGCACATCGGAATCCAGGGACCTGGTAGTCCCCGTTCCGCCCAGTCGGCTGGCGCGGCCTTCCACTCAGGCTCCCATTGATCCCACTTGAGGCGTGTGATGTGGTGCCCGGTGGCCCTGTCAGTGCATGTGCCGATGGTGCGCGTCCACAGATTCTCAACGGAGTCGAACTGGCTCGGATCTGGCCAGCCGTCCTTCCATTGTTTGGTGATCACGTCCTTGTGATGATCTCCACAAAAGTGCGCTTTATCCCACGCGTGCATCTGGCAGGGCTCGCACAGCCAACCCCATGTCTGCATGTGTCCCCAAGCCATCTTCGGCATGTAACGGAGCTCGAACATGGGCTGTCCAGTGGCGGTGTCCCGCCGCGGTCCACTTGGGTCGTGCGGCCCCAGCGCCAAAAAACGAGCCGAGACATGCGCTCTCCCGTTGCTGCCCCATACTGCTTCAATGGTCATACCCGTTGTGGCAGCTAACCGCTGCAGCCTTATAAGCAGTGGAGAGGGCAGCGTAGGCGCGATCCGGGTGAGCTATCGCTGGCCAGGGCGGCAGCGGGCGGGGGGGGGAGGGGCCCGACCGCCGCGGCTGAAGTGCCTGCAGTGTCCAGGAGGTCCACCTGTCAGACAGGAAAAAGGGGAGGAAGAGGAGGGGCGGCGGAGGCAGGGTGGACGAGGATGGCGGTTGTATTTTGGCCAGCTTCGCGCAGCTTGTGGGCCCAGAAGACGCCCAGCGTGGCAAGGCGGTCAGCAGCTTTGTTGAAACGTCTTCGCACGGCCGGCCAGGTCAGTGCCCACCCGGCATCCTCAACGGAACGAAGGCCTGTTTCCATTTGCTGGCAGAGCGTGAGACGTCTGTACCTGGCTGTGCCTGCCCCGTATCTGATGGCACCGAGATTGTCGCCAACAACACGTTCTCTTTGCCCGCGACACGCTGTGAAACTTAGAAATGATAGTCCTGCCCTGCATCCCGCCACTTCGGCTGCTTGTGCGCTATCGGAGCTGGGCAAGGCCACAATGCCAATTCCGACGAGGTCGGGGCGTCCAGTCTCTGGGTTGTGATACCAAAGCGTGGCGCCGCCTCCAGCGACCTTGTGGTCACCGAGTGTGCGCGCGCCGCCGTCAAAGGTGACCTCGTACGGCCACAAGGTGGAATCGGGGTTAGGGAAGGGAAAGTGTTTGGCAGTGACCTCTACTCCCCGCTCGAGGTTTTGCGTGGCATGGAGTGTGGTGACGTGTGTGTCGCAAGTGGGGATACGCGAGGCGTCTAGAATTCAATCGGTACCCAAATTCATAGAAAACTGACTACAACTCCGGGTGCGTCCGGGGAGCCCGAGTCGCGAGCGCCCCGGGAGAAATGGCCTCAAGACGGCCCTAGAGCCTCAGGAGGGCTCGATGAGCGCCCCAGGACGGACACGATGGGCCCAAGATGGCTACTCGACGGCCCAGCGGGCTCCCCAGATGGCCCGAGAGGGGGCCCGAAGACGACTCCCAAGAGGCCCTCGGGGGGCGCAAGTTGTGGGTTTTCCTCAAATTTCGGTGCAATTTTTGCATGCTCGGCTTCTGGGTCTGGAGAGCGCTGGAGACGGCCGAAGCGGCCCCCGAGATCGCTCCAAGATGGCCCAATAAGCGCCCAGCAGGGCCTCATATCGAGCCCCGGACGGCCCAAGAGGAACCTAATACGGCCCCAAGACACTCCAAGAGGGCATGTTGGAGGTCATCTTGGACTATCCAAAGCCCTCTTAGAGTAATGTGGAGTTGAAAAAGAACGGCGACGCACCCCTGGGACCATCCCTGGACCCCCCCGCGATTCCCCTGGGGACCCCCCAGGACCTCCCCTGGGACAACATCCCCAGCGGACTCCCCCCAGGACCGCCCGCTGGGACACCCCTCTGGCGGGGGAGGGATCAAAGAGGAGCTTCCCGTCGCCTTGATTATGACATTGTTTAGTTTCCTTTCGGCTGGCACGCTTGAAGAGTAGGCCTTGCTGAAAACGGAGCAACGGCGACAACGACGACTACGACGACTCAACGGAAAAGCGCTTCACACACGCAAACAGGGTCGGATACCTTAATTTCTCTAGGGTATTATTACAGTTTTCGGTTACACGTGTATTATTCGCATTTTTATCCATATGTGGGTTCTTATCAGTACTACTACTACTACTACTACTACTACTACTACTACTACTACTACTACTACTACTTCTACTACTACTACTACTACTACGACTACTACTACTACTACTACTACTGCTACTACTACTACTACTACTACTACTACTACTACTACTACTACTACTACTACTAGTACTGCTATCATTACGTATTTGTATTTTCATTTTGTTATTCATTAATATTCATTCATTATTTCTACTGTTACTACCATTACACATATTATTCGTATCCTCATTATCATTACTTCTATTCTTAGTATTCGTATCCGTATTATTTCTGATACAAACATTATTGTAGTACTCCTTGATGCAACGGCTTCTTCGGACGGTACAAAAAATGGGATGGACATGTGCCGCATCGTTGCCGGACGATGAGCTCCTCATGCCGATATCAATGACGGACGTGCATGTGCATGAAACACGACAATCACACATTCCCAAGCGGAGCTCGCATCACGGTAACTGAAAAAGATCGAACATAATGAATGTATTATCTTGCGTCGGGCGAGGCTGCACGCAGCCAGTCGACACGAGATAAGGAAGCGCGATGAAAGGCGTGCGGCCGATAAAAGCGGCCCCGTATTGGAATCGTTGATGAACGAATGCTCGGTTACCCAATCGCTACGACAAAGATTCCTTCCTTCCGTTCCCGCGCCGAAATCGGGGGAACCCGCAACCTCGAGGAATCCCGCCCAGTGCTGAAACAACCGTGCAACCTCTAGGTGAACCAGCCAAGTTGATCGATGGAAGGCGTTTGTCCGATAGTCCTGGTCGGAACGGTACGTGCGCCGCTGTCAATTGCGGCCGGACTGCTCCGTGTGTCGGCGGTCTGCCGGCCGTGTCTCCGGTGCAGCCGTCATGCGTCATGTTCACGGGAATAACTTGCTCCGGACAGCACATGAGCACACACTTGAACATGCAACAACGTCATCCACTTCCTGATTCTTGATCTCAGACGTGTCTTGCTACCTTCCACTGCGCACGGCGCCGACCCCTGGCCCACCTTCCCTTTGCCTTTGCCTTCGCCCTTGCCACGAGGTCTCAGGCGGTGGAAGACGGCGCACTCTCCACAACTCCTGCAGGCGGGCAATTCCTCTCCCTGGTACTGTCGTCCGCAAACTCCGCCACCATGCATGCTGCTCTTTTATCCTGCACCGCCTGCTCATGATTACAGCCTCCTGCTGGCAGAGTTCCAGGCGTCACGCGCGGAAGCGGGAAGAAGCAGCAACGACAGCGGGAACCAACATTACCGCCATGCACACCGCTCGATATCCTGGGGATCGTGCCCGAAGGAGCCGCCTGCCGTGTGCAGAGGGAGGGGGACTCCGACAAAGACCAGGGGAAGAAGGATAATAGTGACGGAAAGAGGCGAAGGCCGTGAGCACAACAGCTGCGGCTGCGCAAGCTGTGCGCCGAGAAACGCCACTGGGTCACAGATCCACGGCCAGCGCAAGCCACCTACCGGCTGCTGCTTGCCACCTGGGGCTCACAGACGCGTGCCTCAACGCTGCTGCAAGAAGACGAGGTATATGGCGACAAGGACGCAAAGAGGAGGAGGGGGAGAAGGAGGAGGAGGAGGAGGAGACGGAGGAGGAGGAGGAGGAGGAGGAGGAGGAGGAGGAGGAGGAGGAGGAGGAGGAGGAGGAGGAGGAGGAGGAGGAGGAGGAGGAGGAGGAGGAGGAGGAGGAGGAGGAGGAGGAGCGGACGGCTATGCCAAGTCGGCGGTGGGCGCTGGTGGCGCCGGGGGCACAGCTTTTTCCTGATATGACGACGTCGGCTGTGGATTCTGGCACCGCGTGAAGCGTTCAAGCTTGAGCGATGCCCTCTCTCGGAGGTCCCCAGCGGCTCTCGACCCCATCTTTCGTCTGGAACTCGGCCATGGCCTTGGCTTCTGTGGGCCACGTGGGCCACGGATGCCGGATCGAGTCCCCCGAGGGCGCTCCACCTGGAATGCCCGCGCCAGCGTCGCCGCCGCGTCGCAGCGGCGCGAAGCTGCCGTCGGCGTGGGTGTCCAATAGAGGGCTGAGCTGGCGACTCGGTCCGTCAACTGTGCCCTTCCGCCGGACGGCTTGGCATGCAGAAAGGGTGGTTTGATGGAGTCCTTGGCCATCTCCGCTTTTGCTGCGGCTGCCCCTCCTACCTCGCTTCCTCCTCTCTTCTCATCCTCCCTTCCCTTTCCTCATCATTCAGCCACCTCCCCCCTCCCTCATCCCTCCTGCCTCTTTCCCTCTCCCTCCCTCTTCTGCCCTCCTCCTCCCTCCTCGTCCTTCCTTCTTGTATCCGTCTCCCTCTTCCTTCCACTTCCTCCTCTTCCTCTTCTTCTTTCGTCTCCTCCCCTCGTTCCCCTCCTCCTCGTACGTGTCTTCGATGCCCCGGCGCATCATCGACAGGGCGACCTGTCTAGAGAAGCATGAGCTTGCGCGATGATTGTCAATACGCGCGCCCGATCTCTTCAGCCTCAGAATCGATACCATACGCTTCTCGAACCTCCTTCGCTCCTCTTCCTCCTCCTCCTCCTGTCCTTCTTCTTCTTCTTCTTCTTCTTATCCTCCTCCTCCTCCTGTTAGAAGCGTTGAATGCGAATGTGCGCGGTGCCAAAGCGAGAGCCACAAAACCACCCGCACTCCGTCCTTGCAACGCTTGGAAATTCCAAGCTTCAAAATCATGAGCGGTGCGGGGGGAGTCTCAGGCAAAATGCCAGGCCCGCCCTACGGACACAAGTGGTGGTGCACCGAGGGGAGCAGTTCATACGGAAGAGGGATGGAGGAGGAATAGGAGGAGGAGGAGGAGGAACAGGAAGAGAGGGAGAAAAACGGGAAGTGGGAGGACAACTGAGCGGGAGAGAGGGAAGGGTACGTTCACTGACCCCTCACGCCTCGCCAACCAGAACAAAGGAGGCCGGATATCGCGCGTGCGTCCGGCGGGGTCCTGCAGTGGAATCCCCGGCACCGGTCGGTCCCGAGGTCGTCCGCGGGTGCGTCCGGCGCGGGAGCACAGCGCTCGCAGCCGCAGATCCGCTGGGCTCCGCGCTGGGGCCACCGTGCCTTCCTCCTCCTCTTCGTTGCCACCTTTGTAGCCCTCGCCGTCCCTCTCCCCCCACGACGATGGGGGCGACAGCTGGTGGTGGTGGTGGTAATGGCACCGTCCAGCGGCAACGACGATGAGGATGGCGATGCTTTCTTTCCTCCATGCCTTCGAGCTCCGGGTCAAAGTTTACGCCAAGATCTTTTCCAGCTCCTCCTCGCTGGCGCTCCACATCCAGCAGGCGCCACGGCGGGTCACCATGTTGAGCTCGGAGGAGCTCGTCATCGAGGCTTCGAAAGACAGCCTGCGCAAGACGACGAGTTCTTTTTCGGCAGGGGAGGGGTGCTTTTGCCAAATGGAGACGGAGGGGCAGGTGAGCGCACCTTCGCTTCGTAACTGGCTATCCGCAAGCGAAACGCTGTCATCCGCTTCCCAACGCCCGCCTCCCCTCTTCGCGCTTCCTCCTTCACTGCATGCTTTCGCGTCTGAAGCCAGGGCTGTGGAAAACACTTCCCGAGATGGATTTGCGAAGCCACCATGGTGTCGCGAACTGGCTCCCCACGCACGGGGTGGTCCTGGAGAGGTCCGACGTGGGGTCCCGCAGGAGGTCGCGGACGGAAGGCCCCTCTCGCAGGCTCCCCAGGGGAGACGTCGTGGACGATGTGGCAGTAGCCCTGGGGCCATCTCGGGGCCGTCAAGCTCGTCTGGGATGCGACTTACGGCTAAATCTTCGGGCTCTCTTGGGCGTCTTCTCCGCCTTCTTGGAGGCCCTCTGGGAGGCTCCGGCCCTGAGCCACCCCAAGGCCCTCCTCCTCCTCTCTTCCTCCTCCTCCCTCCTGGAAGAGCTACCAGTGGATCATGGTAACTGCTTCCTTCTTGATGTGTGTGTGTGTGTGTGTGAGAGATGTCGTGCGGAAGCGCTTCGGCGGGCAGCCTCCCAAACCTTAAGGGCGACGCTTTCCTATTCCGACGGATCCCCCCACGGGCCCCAGCTGATCCCGTTCGAACAAGACAAGGAAGGGCAACAATACTCGGCAAAGGACCTTTGGAATCACACTGGCACTGCGCTGCAGCGGGTCGTTGCTGCACCAACCCATGAGCTCCTTCAGAGCACGATGACCCCGCACGGGGCCAACGCAGGTCAGCTCGAAGCAGCGAAGTCTAGTGGCCCAGAATTTTAAGCCCAAACGTGAGACGCCCTGACTCTTTCAATACGCGGCCCCTGAAGTCCCGACCCTTTCCCCGGGACCGTTTATGCATCCTGAGTCGTTTTTTGACGGTCCCGAGGCCCGGCGAGGGCCCCCCTGGGCCGAAAACGGCCAGAAACCTCCCGTCCTGATTTTTTTCGACGCGATCATGTCTGGGAGGTCAAGGCGGCGTCGTTTGGACCTTAATCATTCTGGGTCTCCGCCGGCTCCCCGGTGCGTCGCCCGTGGTGAGGGCGCCAACGGCTTGGCGCCCGGCGCCGTCCCGCGCCCCGGGGCCACTGGGGCCGCCGGGTCCGCAGCGCTGCGGGGCACGGCCCACGGCACTGACGGGCGCTGGCGCTCCCGGGCCTCCGCATGCTCCGCCCCGCGCTCCGCCCGCACCAAACCCCCTCGAGTCATGAAAGAATCATGACGGGATTTTTTTCGCCATCTTCGGCATCTGGGGGCCCTCACCGGGCCTCGGGACCGTCAAAAAACGACTTAGGACGAAGTACCGGTCCTGGGGAAGGGGTCGAGACCTCTGGGGGTCGACGTCATGAAAAAGTCATGGCGTCGGGGGTCTGGGGCTCGTTCCCTCTTCTCTTCTGCCTCCTTGTTGCACCTGGCACCCTTGCGTCCATGCTTCCACGTCGGGGCCGCCGGGCAAGAGGCGCGTCTGGGGGCGGGGCACTCCTGGCGCAGAGGACCGACGCGTCACCTGGTGGGGGGGATCTGGTGCTGGGGAACGGAGCGACACCTGTCGGCGCGAATACCAGTTTGGCCCTGTCCCGCTGAGACCAAGTGGCACTGGGAACGAAACTGCTGGATTGGCCCCAACATCCGCAAGGGACTTTGCATCCGGCATCGGGTTTGGCTATGCTGCTGCTTTGTCACGTTTGGGATGTCTCGGCACCGTGCCCCTGGATGTGGTGACGTTTGCCCAGCCGGAGGTCCCCGCAGCCTGCGCGGGCAAAGGAGTCCAGCAGTGGTCATTATGTTCTGCCGCGGGGCCGTCCTTCGCAGGGGAAAGCGATTTATCTTCGGTCCTCCCCCGCGGCCGCATCTGATCACTGGCCCTCCGCGTGGAGGGCCGTCCTTCCGCTGAACGCGTGGCTCAGGCCGCTGCACGAGGCCTCCCTGGGAGCAGCACCCGGGGGGGCGGGCAGCAGCTCGCTCGCCTTTGCCTGCTGCGAAGTCTGCCCTGGGCAGGAGGCGTGCCGCCAGCTGCCCGTGCCTGCGAAGCTCGCCCCGCCGACCAAATCTACCCCGCGGAAGGCCGTGCTCCCGCGAAAATGACGACGAGCGCGCCTCCTGCTCCCTGCCACCCCTCCACCCTGCCGGCGCGGCCGGCCCCCCCTCCGCCCTGCAGGCGCGATGCTCCGCTTCTCCACCGCCTCCCTCCCCCCGCTGCCCTGCCCGTGGGCGCCTCCCTCCCTGTCCTCCCCCCCCACCGCCCTCCCCCCCGCCCAGGCCCCCCCTCTCTGAGGCCTGCCCAGGCCGCTCCCGCAGGGGCCGCCCCCTCGGCCGCCGCCTTTTCTGGCGCTCCGCCCGGCCCTGCCAGCTTGCGCGGCTCCTTGGGCCTGCGGCTCTCTTGCGGCTCTGTCGCCTTCTGCTCGTTCTTCGACGTTGCTCCGTGTCGCTCTCCCTTGTCGGTACACTCTCGGTTACTCCCTCTCCCCGCCTTCCCGCCCCAGCTGGCTATTGGCACCCTCCACATTCACCGTAGCTCGTCGGCATTCTTCGCTCTACGCCGTCGCTCCTTGTCACTCTCTTTTGTCGGTCCACTCTTGTCTGATCGCCCTATCCGCCTTCCAGTCACAGTTGGCTTATGTCACCTTCCACGCTCGACGTAATTTCGTTTACTCATCGCCCCTCCTCCCCATCCAGGCCCAGATGGTTATGGCTGCTGCCGTCTGCGTGACCGTTAGCAGTCTCTGAGAGTTCGGTCGGGCGTAGATGCGGGCTTCGCTGCCTGCGCCCGACTTCTTGTGCTACGTCGCAGCGCGTGGGGCCGCGACGCCAAAACAAGTGCGCGTGTGTGTGTGTGTGTGTGTGTGTGTGTGTGTGTGTGTGTGTGTGTGCGCGCGCGCGCGCGCGCGCGCGCGCGCGCGTGCGTGCGTGCGTGCGTGCGTGCGTGCGTGCGTGCGTGCGTGCGTGCGTGCGTGCGTGCGTGAGCGCGCGTGTGCGTGCGTGCGTGCGCGTCGTGATGGCTCGCTCTAGGCGCACGCCTGGCTCAACGCTGCGGCCGCGAGCGCGGCGCGTGCACTGCCCTGCTGCCAACGCTGGCGCTGCACTGCCGCGCTGGGGGCGCCAACCGGCGCCGCGGGCGCCGCGGGCGCCGCCGACGCCGCGGGTGCCGATGGCGCTGCTGGCGCCGCGCACGCCGCTGGCGCCTCCGGCGCTGCGGGCGCCGCCGACACCGTGGGCGCTACGGGCGCGGCTGGCGCCGCCTCCGCCGCCGCGGACGCCGTTGCGGCGGTGGCCTCTGCAGGGCTTTGGGCGGCAGCGGCCGCCCTTGCCCGGGCGGCGGCTTGCCGGGGCGGCCGCTGCTGCGGCCCGCGCGGCGGCCCCGCCGAGCGCGCAACCTGGCCAGGGGCATGGATTCCAGCTGCTGGAAGTCAAGCGGCACGACGGACTCCCGCAGTGCGATCGTGGGCCTCGTGAGTTTGACGACGGACTCCAGCGCGACGAACGCGAGCAGCGCGAGGAACTCCACCAACAGGATCGTCTGCAGCATGACGGACTCCAGCAACACCATCGTGAGCAGCACGATGGACGTCATCAGCGCGACAGTGAGCAGCGCGACGAACTCCTGGAACGCCACCCCGACCAATGCGTGCGAGAAAGACTGGCAGGGGTCGTGACAGCCGGCCCTTGCGCTGCTCTGAGATATGGTGGGAGTGATGCCGGAGCTCGCCGTCAGCTGCTCCGGCGCCCCGACCAATGCGTGCGAGCAGGACTGGCAGGGGCAGCGGCAGCCGGTCCCTGCGCTGCTCCGAGATATGCTGGGAGTGATTCCATGGCCCACCATCGGCCGCTCCAGAGCTCCGACCAATGCGTGCGAGGAGGACTGGCAGGGGCAGTGGCAGCCAGCCTTGGCGCTGCTCGGCCAGATGATGGGCATGATGCTGGAGCCCGCCATCATCTGCTTCAGCGCTCCGACCAGCGCGTGCGAGAAGGACGGGCAGCGGCGGTGGCGGCCGATCCTGGCGCTACTCCGAAGATGTTGGGAGTGGAGCTGGAGCCCACCATCATCTGCTACAGCGACCCGATCAGCGCGTGCGAGAAGGACTGGCAGGAGCAGCGGCAGCCAATCCTGGCGCTACTCCGAGAGATGTGGGGGGCGAAGATGGAGCCTGCCGTCGTCTCCGCCTGCTGCGGCGCCCCGCTGCGGGCCCTGCGCTGCCCCCTTCGATTTTGGAGTGAAGCAGGGGCCCGCAATCAGCTACTCCAGCGCGCCGACCAATGCGTGCGAGAAGGACCGGCAGGGGCCGGGGCAGCGGGGCCTCGCGCTTTTCAGCTCGACTCTGGGAGTGGAGCTGCAGCCCGCCATCATCTGCTACATCATCTGCTACAGCGCCCCGATCAGCACGCGTGGGGCGAACGCGCGCAGCGAGGTGCTGGTTGTGGAGCTGGGGTCCACCATCATCCGCTACAGCGCCCTGATCAGCGCGTGCGGGAAGGACTGGCAGGGGCGGTGGCCGCCAGCCCTGGCGCCGCTCCGAGGGATTTTTGGGAGTGGAGCCGGGGGCCGCCACCGCCTACTCCAGCGCCCCATTCAGCGCGTGCAGGGAGAATGGGCGGAGGCGGCGGCAGCCGGCCTTGGAGCTGCGCGGCGAGATGCTGGGAGCGGAGCTGGAGCCCACCACCATCTGTTGCAGCGCCCCGATCAGCCCGTGCGAGACGCACGTGCGCGACGAGATGCTGGGTGTAAAGCTGGGGCCCATCATTATCCAGTACAGCGCGCCGATCGGCGCGTGCGAGAAGGACCGGCAAGAGCAGCTGCAGCCGATCCTGGCGCTGCTCCGAGAGATGCGGGGAGTGACGCTGGAGCTCGCCATCATCTGCGCCGGCGCTTCGATCGGCGCGCGCGAGAAGGGCGGGTTGTTGCAGTGGCAGCCGACCCTGGCGCAGCTCGTCGAAATGCTGAGCGTCGATCTGAAGCCCGCCATCGTCTGCTACGGCTACCCGATCAGCACGTGCGAGAAGAACAAGCGATGGCGGCGGCAGCCGACCCTGGCGCTGCTCACCGACATACTGGAAGTGAAGCTGGGCCCAGCCATCATCTGCTGCAGCGCCCCGATCAGCGCGTGCGGGAAGAACGGGCAGGGGCTGTGGTCGCCGGCTCTGGCGTCGCTCAGCGAGATGCTGGGGGCGCAGCTGGGGCCCGCCATGATCTGCGACTGCGCCTCGATGGGTGCGCGCGTAACGAGCGGGCAGAGGCGCGGGCGGCCAGCCCTGCCGCTGCTCAGCGAGACGCCGGGTGTGAAGCTGGAGCACGAGCATCCCCAGCATCTGTCACGGCGCCCCGATCAACGCGTGGGTGGCATCCCCGACCCGTCTCCTGCTACAACATCCCCGACCTTTCACCCGTCTCTGCCGGAGGTGGCAGCCAGCCCTGGCGGCCGCGGCGCGGTCGAGGAGGACGTTGGGGTGCGTGGAGACGTCGACGACGAGGTGGAGGAGGTCGTGGAGGGCGTCCGGTGCTCCGACATGGCCAATGAGAGACTGCTCTGTTTGCTGCGTGTCCTCGAAGCCGTTTATCAAGCTTGCCTTGTGCCCTCTGTGATCTTCGAATCAAGGGGTGGGAATGTCCAGGGTGGTGGCAGGGGGGCGGCCATGGAGGAGGAGGGGGGCGTCGATATGATGGAGCCCGTCGACGTGACCGCGGAGGTGGGCGTCGATGGTGGGTTCGAGGAGGCGGTCCGCGCGGTGCTGACGTCCAGCGATGCCTGGGGCCGGGGGGTCTGATGCTCTCCTGGGGCCCTGCTTTCATCGCGCTGGGCGGCAGCGAGGAGGTGCGGGGGCACGGCGGCGACGTCCTTCAGCTTGCTCTCAATCCTGCGGGCTTCAATCCTCTCGCCGCTATGTCACCAATCTCGTCGGAATTCTGCCGCCAGTCGCTGTCCTATTAGCTGCGCGCCCCCAGCGCCGTTCATAAGGTTTGCCGAGTGCCCCGCGTGATCTTTGAATCGAGGGGTGGGGGTGGCCAGGAGGGTGACAGGGGGGTGGCCATGGGGGGGGATGAGGAGGATAAGTAGGAGGAGGAGGAGGAGGAGGAGGAGGAGGAGGAGGAGGAGGAGGAGGAGGAGGAGGAGGAGGAGGAGGAGGAGGAGGAGGAGGGAGGAGGAAGGAGGAGGAGGAGGAGGGAGGAGGAGAGGAGGAGGAGAGGAGGAGAGGAGGAGGAGAGGAGGAGGAGGAGGAGGAGGAGGAGGAGAGGGGAGGAGGAGGAGGAGGAGGAAGAGGAGGAGGAGGGAGGAGGAGGAGGAGGGAGGGAGGAGGAGGAGGAGGAGGAGGAGGAGAAGGGAGGAGGAGGAGAGGAGGAGAGGAGGAGGAGGAGGAGGAGGAGGAGGAGGAGGAGGAGGAGGAGGAGGGGAGGAGGAGGAGGAGGAGGAGGAGGAGGAGGAGGAGGAGGCAAAAAAAAGGCAAAGGCGCTTCGGGGATGGGTTCGATCCTAACCGCAACAGGCACGGGGCTCCGCAGGACTAGGTCTTGTGTTATCCCTGCGTTGAATATGGACGCAAGGGCCTAGGACCAATTTCTTGGTCGCCTAGGCCTGCCTGAGGCGCGCGCCCCAGGACTAGATCGTGGGGGCGGGCCTCGCGCAGGGAGCAGCGTGCTTCCCTCGTTCGAAAGCTAGGGGGGCTGGGGCAGGGCTCATCACGAGAGCCGTGCCCCAGTCCCCAGGGCAAGGGGTGACGCACTCGGTGAATGGAGGGGGAGAACACACGCTACGCACCACAACAAGCTCACACCCACACACACACGAGAAGAGAGGCGGGGGGGGGAAGGGGGGCTGCGGGGCGCGCCTGCCGCCCAGCGAGGCGTCCCAGCGGGGCGCGCGCCGGTGGGGCGCCGCTCTCGCGGCTCCTCCTCCTCCTCCTCCGATCCTCTCACCCCCTCCCACTCCACTCAGACAGGGTCTAAACACAAAATAAAAATTAACTCCTCCTACTCAGGTCTGGGGCTGGGATGGGTGGTCGTGGGTGCTGCCTTCTGTCCCCTGTAATCGACCGTCGGTGGGGCCCGTATCTGGAGTCGCAGACGTACGTGCAAGACTCGAGGGGGGGCACGCTCCGTCGCCTTTAAGGGATCGTGCCCACCCAGTTGGGCGCTACGGGTCCCCCCCCTCGAGTATAGTAGAGCCCTCCTGACATCGCATCTGAACCAACTGAACCGTCGATTTTTTTCTTTTTTCTTTCAGGTCCTCTGGTCCTGCGTGGGGGACTCACGTCTGCGCATCAACGGCTTCTGACGATAAAAAGTCGGCCCGTGGTGGTGGTGCTGGCCTCGACCTCTCGACCTCCTGCTCAGATCAGATCTCCCCCTCGCCGTCCGAAGTGATCGGGACCTCCTCCGCATTCACCTTGCTCTCGCTCTCACTCCCCTGCCCCTTCTGGTGGTTCGCCCATGGGCGCTTCTCCTTCCAACCGTAGAAAACCCACGTGCTCGGGTCATCTTTGTCCCAAGCTGGGATGCCCTCAGCTGGAGGCGTCCAGCCATGGAATGCCCACGTGCTCGGGTCGCCTGCGTCCCACGGGGGTGCCAACGTGATCTTTGCGAGCTCCATGGCGCGCTGCGTGCGGATCGGCGTGACCTGGTCCTCTAGGTGATTGATCTCGTCCGCCTGCTTCTTCATGTACTCCTTGCTCGATGGATATTTGGGTGGGGGCTCGCTTCGGAACTGTAAGCTGCCGTGAGCCTGGAGCGTGGCGGTCAGCGCTTCCTCGATGCCTTTCAGCTGGTCCGTGATCGTCTGCATGTTCTCCCCGATCATGATGGCCTCCAGGGTGTTCCTCGTGTTTAGCATCTGCGACCTGAGCAAGATACTGTTGAGCTTTCTCTTCTGCGCCGTCAGGTAGTCGATCTGCGTCTCGTACTTCTTCTTCACGTCTTGCATCATTTTCTGGCACTGCTTTACGTTCTTCTCCTGCAGTATCAGCACGTAGTTGAAGTCGCCAATCTCTGGGTCTTCGGCGTCTCCGCGATACTCTGGCACCTCGGGCACCTTCGGCAGAGACTCTGGCATCGTTCGCACTGCCTCCGTTGGTCGGTGGTACCGTCCGCGGCGTTCCCACTCTCTGTACTCTTGCTAAGCCAGCTGTGCTACGGAGGAGCCCCTCCCTTTTGTACATACCACAGCATGTCCCCAGTGTCGTTCCAGCTGCTCCGTTGTCGGGTGTAGTAGTCGGACGATGGGGCCAGGGGCTCTGGAGTCCTGCTTAATTCCTCGGGGCCCCTTTATTGTCAGGAAAACAACAAAAGACGCTCCAATTACGACATACCGATGCGCTCCGACGTAGGAACCTGCACAAACGCACTGTCCAGTTGTGTTTAATACCGAGTGCAGCATTCCCTTCTCCCCGTTCTGCGTCTCTATTGCAAGGTATTCCTTCTGTCCTTCTCCTCCTCCTTCAATCTCTACTGCAGCAACCCTCCCCCCTGCAAGGCGCCTCCCCATCCCCACCCTGACGTCGCATTTCCTCTGTAGGTAGGTGCCGTCTTCTCCCATGTATGTAGTAGTCACAAAACATAAACACATGCAATCCCAATTGAACCCAG